CAAATTGGGGGAAAATAGTTGCTAAGTCCATTCAAGGTAAATTTCCTTAGTTTTATAATGATTTCTTGGTTTTAATTTAGGAAGTATCTTGAAATTGTGGAATAGATTTTGGGAAAGGATGGTTCTGTCGAAGAGGGCTTTGGGTTTTATTTGTGTTGTTAAGTTAATGGAAATTGACTTGTCTAAAGTAGTCTTATAAGGTTGGCTTGCAAGTTTAGCATGGTATATTGAATTTTTATTGTGGTTGTCCATTTCTTCTTTGGCGGGGCAGACAAGTGGAGAAGCTTTCATGGTTGATGTGTGAAATTTAATGAGTATTTTATTATATCAAAAATTGTAAAAGAGGGAAAGCTGCTTAGTGAGTGGCGAATTGAGTAGGGATTTTTGGAATTATGTTGATTCATAATTAGAGGCATACAGTGTGTGGAATTTGGCTAAAATAAACAATTGTTTGTAGGAAAAAGGGTCTAAATAATTCTTGGCTTAAATAATTCTTGGCTTTGCATTCACTGGTGCCAAGTCAACAACTGAGGTAAGTGGCATTACCCTTTTTAGAAATGCCGGAAAAATAAATTATTCTTTCACTTGTTATTGCGAAATTAATTTATTTGAAATCTAAGTATTTTTTTTTACTATCTCCTTGTGGTATTTCTTCTGAAATGCATTTACTTATTTATGTGTATATTTATTTATCATTTTCTTTCTTTAAATAAATGTGGATTAAACATGTTGGTTGTCAACTATTTGAGATGAGGGGATTTGATAGTTTTGTGATATAGAGACTTTGGAATTGAGAATTTATTTGAAATTAAGGTAGCTTGTTTTGCATAGAATTGTCGGGAATCATTTTAGATTATCGTGCCGTAATAGATTATCGAACGGTAAACCACGTTAGACTATCGAACGATAAACTGAGTTAGACCATCGAACAGTTCATTTTTTTTTTTTTTATTTTGTCGTAATAGAGTATCGAACGACCAGTTGATATTTATGTGCCACAGCCATGTGGGATTGAGAAATTGTTTTACTAATGAGTTTCTTTATATTTGTTTCATCCAATATAATTTAATTACTTATTTTATATCACTTTTTAATTAAGATAATTATGCTTGGTCGTACTAGTTGGGTATGCTATTTATTGGGCATGTGGAGCTCACATTGTTTTATTTAATGTTTTCAGATACTAAACATGGAGCATCTGGGAGGCAGG